GTCTTCTAGTCCAACTTCCCGCTCAAGCAGGAGATTCTATACCATTCTAGATAAACAGCTGTCCACTCTCTTCTTGGAAACCTTCATGATGGAGCACCCACAACTTGGAGGCAAGATCAACCTTGATGTAAATAGAGCTGAGGAGGCAGAGGAGCTGTGGTCCTCGTGAGTTAGGGATAGAGAATATTTGGAGAATAGGGATCAAACCTAAAGGCTGAACAAGAAGCAACAGATGGAAACTCATCAAGGAGAGAAGCAACCTAGAACTAAGGAGGAATTTCCTGACAGGGAGGACAATTGACCAGTGGAACAGCTTCCCTCCAGAGATTGTGGGTGCCGCAACACTGGAGGCTTTTAAGAAGAGATTGGACTTTATCTGAAATGGTGTAAGATCTCCTGCTTGAGCAGGGGGTTGGACTAGAAGATCTCCAAGGTCCCTTCCTACTCTGTTATTCTGTGAAATGCCATTTTCAGGAGAACAATGGTGGGAGGTGGGTCGATCATCCCAAGCATCTCAGAGGCATCAGGGGAGCCATCCAGAGGCAAAATACTGGGTTAGGATGGACTTTTGGCCCAACTCAACTGAAGCATTTTTACAGAAATTCCAGAGGAACCTGATTAATTCCCTTGTGATCTGTGACCGGCAGAGAACACAGTTTTAAAGTTTGCATCAAGTCATTGAAAAAGTTATATATAAATAAAAGGAAGTACTGCTGAATATAGTACGGGTGACTTCTGAGTAAGATGCTTATGACTGCAATATAAATGGGGCTATGAATATAATATGTCCGTTGATGAACTTCCCCCCAGTAGATGCTGACATGAGCTCGTGCAGAAGGCTGGGAGGGGAATACATTTTGGCAAATCCCTGTTGCCATCTGCTCACTCCACCTGAAGGGAGCATTCGCAGCTCAGGGTTGAACTGAGGGCTCCTGGGTGCTCTCTGAGCTGGGTGGTTTCCTTGCAGACGTTTCATTGCCCAGCTAGGCAACATCATCAGTGCTAGAGGGGAGGGGGTTTGCTATCAGCTTATACAGGTAGTGCTCATCTTACAACTACAGTTGGGACCAGAAATTCTGTTTCTAAGCCACAGACTCTTGGAACTGGATCTAAAGCCACCCAGAATCATTGGGCACAAGATAGGTGGCAAATAAATATCCTAAATAAAGAAATAAAATAAATAAATAAAGCATGGCCCTGCCCTATTCTGGGTCCTCTATCCTTAGTTTAATCCTCTGCCAGGGACGTCCACAGATGCATTCAAAGCCCCTCAGAGCTGCCATCTTGACTTTTTTGACCAGTCCCGAGGAGACCCTTAGTCCTCTGCAGTGGTTGACAGGACAATGATGATGATTTCAAATTTTGCTGCTCAAGAGGACTTTCAAAACCACTAAAAACAAAACCAAAACTTAGTAAAACTGTAATAACAGATGGGTTGTTTTGTGGTTTCCTTTAAGAGGCCCTCTTTCCTGCAAGCAGGGCTGGCTGTCGTCACAATAACTTGGGTTGGGTTGATTGCTGTTAGAATACAGGAGAACCCTGATCATTAGCATTTAAGCTGCTCTCTCTGGGCACTTTACAGTGTTGAAGCATTCTTTGCATCTTGCCCCCAACAATCTGGTCTTCTGGAGACCCTCAGTCCTCCAGGTCACGGTTGTCCCAAAGGTGCTTTTCCAAAAGGCAGCTGGCCTTTCTTGGTTTTTTCCTTGAAGACATTTTGCTTCTCATCCAAGAAGCATCTTTGGTTCTTCTACTTCAGCTTCACTTCAGAACTCATGAATCCTCTTGGATGAGAAGGAAAAAAGCCTTCAAGAAAAAGTCCAGTTGCCTTTTGAAAAAGCACCTTTGGGGGATAATCTGGGTCTTCGTTTTATCAACCTCGGAAGGATAGAAAGCTGAGTCAACCTTGAGCCCCATCAGGATCAAACTCCTGGCTGTGGGCAGAGTTAGCCTGCAATACTGCTCTTTAATCACTGCGCCACTAGGCAGCTATTATTTTTATATTAATGTTTTTATATATATATAATTATATTATCATCAATATATTATTATTCACATTATTCTGGTAGATTATGAATAATAATGTCTTAAACTAATGTTGGTATTTAATGCAAGATGTGGAATGCTTTTTTTTTTTTTTGAAAGATCCACAATTGCTAAAAAGTTAAGGGAAAACATGCTAAGTCTGAAATTCATTGCATACAAGCTGACTGTGTCCCCCCTTCCCTATCTAAGGAAGCTATTCTTCTTCCTGTTTTTCAGCCCCATCATGCCTGCCCTCCACACCAGGCTCTTATCTGCAGCAAGGCACATTCTCCAAATGCGCTGAGGGGTCTTATCAGGAAGAGCCAAGATGCCTGTCTCCTCCCCCCTAGATTTCCCCATCTCATTGCATTTTCATTTCCTTCCTAGTTTCCTTTGTGACTGTAAATAGGCCCCAAAACTGGGTCCGCCCACCTCCTTCAGACCATGCATGGTCTGTTGTGGTGACCTTTGTTCCGGGCTAAACGGTCTCACATGCTGCATAACATGAGGATGGGCTACTCCTTATTTTCTCCCACCTCCTCGTATGTCCTTGTGTGGGTATTTTCCACAATGTCCGTGTTGCAGACTAATAACAGAATAACGGAGTTGCAAGGGACCTGGTAGGTCTTCTGGTCCAACCCACTGCTCGAGCAGGAGATCCTCCTTTAACACCTGTGGGCTTCAGTTCCCAGAATTCCCCAGCCAGCCACGTCACAGCTATGCTGGCTGGGACATTCAGGGAGTTGAAGTCCACAAGTTTTAAACTTGCCAAGATTGGGAACGCCAGCCCTACACTATTTCAGATAAATGGTTATACACATCTCTTCTCGGAAGGTGGCCTATTTGATTCTTCCTATCTTTTTATGCCATGCTAGGACTTAAAAGATAGAATCATAGAGTTAGAAGGGACCTTGGAGGTCTTCCAGCCCAAAGCCCATCTCGAGCGGGAGGCTCTCTATCATCCCATCTCTTTTGAAAGACCTCCCGTGATGGAGCACCCAGAACGTGTGAAGGCAAAAGCAGTTCCACTGATTATTAGATGTCGTCACCACCTTGAGTTATTTATAAAAATAATAATGGTGGGATCTAAATAAATCAATAGATTTTCTTTGCCACTGATGTGAAGGCACTCTCTATATGAAAATGGGTGGTGTTAATCTTCCTCATTGGAGTCCTCCTTCAGGGCTCAACTTGCAATTTGTCCCTGGATTCACTGAAACCAAGGATCTATCACAAAAGCCCCGAGGGAGAGATTCCTGAATTCATGGACAGCTGGCAGGAACTCCTCGCCTCCAAAGGTTGGAGGCTCCAACACTGGAGGCTTTTAAGAAGAACTGGGCAGCCATTTGTCTGGACTGGCATAGCGTCTCCTGCATGAACAGGGGGTTGGACTGGAAGACCTCCAAAGTCCCTTCCAACTCTGCTATTTTCTTATTCTAATAGACTGATGAACTTGGATTAACTACAGCTCCTCTGTATTTTTGGGACGGTTTAGAAATATGAAATATAAACAAACAAACACAGTGATAATAATAAGCCCAAAGGTTTCAGGGTCTCCTTTTTTTTTTTTGTAAAAAAATTTTTATTTTCAATTTTACGTTACATTCATAAAAATTACCTCAGATAAAAAATAAAATAAATTTATACACACAACTTTCGGTATTGCTCACCCACTTCCCCCCAAACCGCATCCACCCTCTAACCTCTTCTCTCCCTTCCCTCTTTCCCTCTTCTTCCTCACTCCCCCCCTCTCCTCCTTCTCCTCAACCTTCCTACTTACTTCTCCCCTTCCTCCTATCTTCTCACTCCGGATGCGGTCCAGGGGAAATGCCCTAGCAATTCCTCTCTCCAAATTAAAACATCAATATTATGTACAATAAAACTATTTCTACTTATCTGAACTATTTAACCTCCAACCCATCCTCCCCCCACCCCCCTGGTTTCAGGGTCTCCTTGATGGTCTCACAAATACCAAGAATTTTATCACCTGACTTACATCTGCTGTTCTGCCCTGCCCTCTCTCTGCCCCGTGTCCTCCAAACTCACACTGGTTCAAATACACTCCAGAAATGGGTGAGGGGCTCATGAAAGCCCCAGACCTTGTGTTCAAGAAGGTGGTCAGAAAAGGGTCCACCAGACACTTTCAGATTTCGACCTATCAGTCTGGTAGTTCAGAATATTAGCATTTCAGTATCCAATCACAAAGTAGTATTATAATGCACTCAAATGCTTCTTAGCATTTAGATATTTTTGTGTTTCACTATTTGCCTTTGTGATGTTTGGTAATCTGAACCATTTTATTTCCTTCAGCAATTCTTCCAAAACGTTTTTCTGCATTTTAACCTTGCACAAAAGTCATATACAAAACCTCACCAAGGTCCCTAGCAGAGATACTGCTGTTGGCAAACTACAAAGGCATCTGATAATTAAAATATTAGCTAGGTATATTTCAAATTGTATATATTTCTTGGTGATTATAAAGCTGTATTTCCTGAACTTCGTTTTTTTTTGCTTTTTTTAAAAAAATCTGTTTCCTGTTTTTAACTTTTTTTGCTTTTCTTATTTATTTAAATAGCTTGTAGTTATTTTAACCAACATAAAATGATAAGAGACTTTGAAATTTTTATTTACATGCTCTCGACTTGCCGTATTGTTAGATTTTGATCTGAAATTGGCTTTTTAGTCCTGTTAATTTAGACTATACTGTTGAGTAACATCAGAACCATACGAAACATAGATAATGGGGTTATCTTTATGTTTCTTATGTTTTGTGAAGAAAAATGGGGGAAATATCTTCTATTTCTTCTGCTAGAGTTTATTCTTTCAACCTTATCTGCCTTTTTCTTGATGTTCTATTTCTCAGCTTTTCAGGGTGGGAAAAAAGTTTGTCAAGAGTTTTATATCTATTCCAGCAAAGATCCTGCCTGGACTCAAGGAAACAAACCAATAAACAGCATCTAATATTAGAAACTTACCAGCTCCTAAGAGAAGGATTGAGAACCACAGTCTGAGAATGCTCTTGTGCGACATGCTAGCAAAATGAAACCTTGCCTAACTTCTGCAAAGCTCTTTGTCTGGGAGGAACCCTGTGACAAGCCTACAATTTCATTGAGGGCTGCATCAGCATTGTGGTTGCCCTTGGGGGGGCAGGTGGGTGTGGCCAGGGTGGGTGCAGCCTACTGGGTGGGTGTGGAGGGAGTGGGTGTGGCCCATTGGGTGGGCATGGCCAGCTCTACATCATTCGCCTCAAGGGTACCCGTGGGGGCCTGGGCAGGAGTGGGACAGATCTGAGGGTCTCTGCAGAAGGGGGTGGGACCAGGGCAAGTGCCAAGACATGGAGGATCCATGTTCCTCTCAGGCCATGTGGGAGGGCTGGATGGTGGTGCAGACTGCCTGGAGCCCTGGGCAGCAGAGGTCAAACACCCAGCCTGGCCCTTGAGCACCTGTGGCACCAAGCCCAGCCCCACTTCCCCAAGGGGGCGCCCAGCTGCACTTACCTCCTCCTCAAGGCTGCTGCTGCTGAGCTTGCTCTCCTTATCCAGGTTGCTCATGATGGGTACGAGGGCAAAGTCAGAGGGAGGCTCATTCCCTCGCCATGGGAGGAGACCCGGCTTTGTATCCAAAGCTTCCTTAGCAATAGGATGGGAGACCCCCAGGATAGGCCAGGAGGAGGGGGCAAGGGGATGGTGAAAGGACAGCAGGGCAGGACTTCCCTCAGACCCTTCCTTCCTTCCTTCCTTCCTAAGTACAGAGTGGTGGGAAAATATTTGAGATGAGGGAGGGAGAAAAACAGGCAAGAAATGCAGCTGGGGAGGTGTCACCTGTTAAGTCCTCCGTTCAATGGCGAATGATGAGGAGTCATGACGAAGTTAACAGCTCTTTATTTACAATCACCAACACTTGAAAAACCACAGGCTCGCAGGCCTCTCTCTTAAAAGCAACCAGAGACCCGGATAGAAACATAATAAAGTATCCGGCGCCACTCAGTCTGGTCCTGGGCAGCTTCTGGAATGCCCGGGACCATTGCAACGTCCCGAGCCTGCTTTTGCAGCCTCAGGACACAACCCCCCTCCCCCCTAGATGGAACTTCTCTGCACACATACATGTACAACCTAATGTGGGGAAGTGACATATAGTTCCTTAAATCAAATGCACTGACTGTGGAAGGCTTGAGGTTACCCTCAGGCAAAACCCCCTCCACTTCATTTTGGGAATACATGTATCCGAAATCAGGAAAAATAATACAAAATAATATGCCTTTTATTGAGGGCTCTTATGAGATGTTCCCCTTGAACTTGACAACAACTTCACAAAGTCCCTAAGATATTTGGGTGGGCACTTGGCCCACTGCGACCTCCTCGGACCAGGAGAGATTGCTTGGCCCACCTGCTCGCCTACCAGGCCAGGTGGGCCAAGACGTTGCTGCCCTAAATTTCCAGGTGACCCTGGTACTGTTGCCTGGCCTAGCTGCTCGCCTACCAGGCTCGGCAGGCCAGGACTTTGCTGCCCCAAATACCCGGTTGACCTGCCCATCTGCTGGCTGGCTGGACCCTCTAAGCCCAGGCCAACATACCTAGGAATTGTGGCATTCCCCAGGTCCACAATGGAACCTTCTTGGGACCACTGTCCCTCGAACCCCAGGCCAGCAGATGGAGATTGCTCGGTGGTGGAGGTACCCCAATACTCCGTAGCCCCCAAGCATGTGCCCAAGGTGTCAGAGTCAGGAGTTGCCTGTGTGGCAACCCCCCTAGCTGTTGACCTCCTTTTGGGAGCAATTGCAGAATTTGGCAAGTGTTCCTGCTGGCATTCTTTTTCTCTTGTAGTTTGTGGGTTGTGTGGATAGCCCCGGTCAGTCTCCCTGTCTGGAGCGCTATCTGTCATGTATGAAAACTGTGAATAACCCCGGTGTGACTCCCTGTCTGGAGTAATTATGGATGTGTGGGATGACCCCCTATCCATTGAATTCCTGTTTGGAACACTTGCGGAACCGTGGGATGAATCCCAAGTAGCCTAAGTATCAGCTATAGACGCCCTGTGGGCCAGTAAAACTGAGCCTCAGAATGCATGTTATGGTCCTCCTCTCCCCCCCCAGAGCAGAGTCAGGAGCAGAAGAGTGAGAGTCCAGTCTCCAACGCAGTTGGTCTCTGTGTCTGCACAGAACGCGGCCGTCTCCCAAGGCAACTTCGTATGACAACGGCCCAGAGACCTTGCAGACCACAGCTGTGACCCAGAGATGGCCAGGCCCATAGTTCCGAGCCCAGATCGGATCGCCCACTTGGAGTCTCTTAAGTGCCCGTGGTTGTGACACCTGTGAAGCCACCCGGTCAGGGTGCAACCTGTCCAGTTTAGTGATGAGGCGTCGACCCCAGCGGAGTTCAGCAGGGCTCTTCCCTGTGGCAGTGCATGGTGTGGTGCGGTGTGCAAGAAGGAAATCTGCTAACCTGTGATGCCAGTTACTGTAAGTCAGTTTCTTAAGGGCATCCTTTGTGGTGCGCACTATTCTCTCTGCCAATCCGTTGGAGGATGGCTGGAAGGGAGCCGAAGTTGCATGGCGGATCAGGTTGGCCTGAAGAAAAGTCTGGAACTCAGAAGAGGTAAGTTGAGGACCGTTATCTGAAACCAGAACATCTGGAAGGCCATGTGATGCAAAAATTCCTCTCAACACCTGGATGGTCCTGGCAGTAGTAGTGGAGGAAACAGGAACAACCTCTAGCCACTTGGAATGGCTATCAACAACAACCAGGAAGAATTGTCCCTGAAAGAGCCCAGCATAATCTATATGTACCCTAGACCATGGGGTTTGAGTTTCCTCCCACCTATGTACTGGTGCCTGAGGCATTTCAGGCCGAGACTGTTGGCACACTTGGCACCCGTGCACCTGGGCCTCGATGGCTTTATTGAGTCCAGGCCACCAGAGATGGCTGCGCACAAGCACTTTCATCCTGACTATGCCAGGATGACCCTCATGCAGAGAAATCAAGATTTTAGACCTCAATGAGGCTGGGATCACTACACTGCTTCCCCATAACAGGCATCCCTTGAAAATGGAAAACTCATGCTTCTTGTGCCAGAAGCTTTGGAACTCAGCATCTGGGCACTTGTCAAGCCATCCTGACAACACCCATGTCAGCATGCGTATAAGCGTGTAATCAGTGGCAGTTTCTGCAGCCACATCCCTAGCATTGAGGGGAGACTCAGGCAACTCCTGAATGGACAGAATATTGACTGCTGGAGCAGGATCTGGTTCCAATCTGCTCAGGCCATCAGCATGACCCATTTCTATTCCTGGTGTAATGTAGTCATATGCAGACAGGAAAATGGACCATCTCAGCATATGAGAAGAAATGATATGTGGGGTCTGTTTGTTAGTTGTAAACAAACCCAGCAGAGGCTTGTGGTCAGTATAGACCGTGAAATGGTGGCCATATAAGAAATCATGAAATTTTTTAATGCCAGCCACTATAGCCAATGCTTCTCTGTCAATTTGAGCGTAATTTCGCTCTGCAGAAGACAGAGTCCTTGAATAATAAGCCACAGGGACCTGTGTCCCATCAGCCTTCAGATGGCTAAGTACAGCTCCCACCCCATAAGGAGATGCATCGCAGGCGATGCAAACAGGCATTTGCTCATTGAAATGAGCTAAAACAGAATTAGACGTGAGCAAGGCCTTAACCTCATTGAAACACTTGTCATGGACTTTCGTCCACTGCCAGGGAGCTTGCTTGTCTAAAAGCCTATGTAATGGCTCTGCCACAGCAGCCTTATGAGGGAGAAAAGCATGGTAAAAATTTAATAGGCCTAAGAAGGCTTGCAATTCACTCTTGGATTTAGGGCTTGGGGCCTGCTGTATGGCTTGCAATTTCGTTTCAGCAGGCTTAATTCCTTGAGTATCTATTCTGAATCCTAAGAAGTCAGTAGAATTGACTCCTATCTTACATTTTTCCTTCTTGAGTTTAAGGCCTGTTCTTCGAAAACGAAGCAAAACAGCCCTTAATCTTTCAGCTAAATTCTGAGATTACTCCCCTGCGATGAGGACATCATCGAAATATGGACAGACCCCCGGAATACCTTGAAGTGTGCTTTCCATGACACTTTGGAATATGCCAGGGGCTACATTTACCCCAAATTGCAGTCTCTTAACCTTGAAAGCCCCCCTGTGTGTTACAATAGTTTGGGCCTCTGCAGCTGCCTCCTCAACAGGTAACTGTTGATAGGCCTGTGCCAGGTCAACCTTAGCAAAGATGTGGCCTCCCTTGAGGGTACTGGGTAAGTGTGCTGTTGCAGCGCCTTATTCAGTGTACACTTGTAGTCTGCACAAATACGTATGTCCCCATTAGCCTTTAGAGGCGTTACTATGGGGGTTTCCCATGGACTTGAATCCACAGGTTCCAAAATGCCTTGCTGGAGCAATTTGTCCAGCTCAGCATCAATCTTACTCTTGAGAGCGAAAGGTACCCTCCTAGGCTTATATGATGGGTGTTATGTCCCGAGCCTTGCAAACGGCTCGGGCGTTTGCAGGCAGTCCCGGGCAGGTGCAAAGCTGCCCGGGACCAGACAGGCTGTCGCCAGCGCCGTGCGCATGCGCGGGTGCTGGCGCGGGAAAAGTATCGCATTTACCCGGGAAATGTCTATATAAGAAGTTGGGAGGTTTTGGGAGCTGCTGAAGCCATCTACTTGTAAGCTGAACGCAGAATAAAGAAAACTGAGAACTTCAACTGCTTCTCGTGTCTGCTTCCCGCCACGGACTCAACACTGGCGACGAAGGTGGGATTGCCTTACACCGCCTGGAAAGGAAGAAGTGTAAGCTTACCCAAGTGAGTCCTGAGCGGCGGAACGGCGTCGACTCGGCAGCTACCCGCCAATCCAGTGCGCATTCGGGGGTAGGCTGGCTGATAGACCCGTCTCCTGAAGATGGCAAAAATCAGAAGGCTTTCGGAATTCGACGTCTCACATCCAGAGCGGTGGGAGTCATACGTAGCCAGGGTGGAGAACTACTTCAAGGCAAACTAAGTGAAGGAAGAGAGCTTGAAGGCTGCCACCCTGCTTTGTGTTTGTGGCCAAGACGCCTTCGACATCGCAGAAAACCTTGCAGCACCTGTTCCAGTAGAGTCTGTAAGCTACGCAGA